TAGAAGTTTGCATGTTCTCCCTGTGCCTGCGTGGGTTCTCTCCAGGTACTCTGGCTTCCTCCCACAGTCCAAAGACGTGCAGCTTAGGTTGATTGGTGACTCTAAATTGCAGTGAGCGTGTGTGGTTGTCTAAGTGTCAGCCCTGTGATAGACTGGCGACCTGTCCAGGGTCCAGGCGCCTCTCGCCTAGTGTCAGCTAGGATTGGCTCCTGCGACCCTCATCAGGATAAACGGTATAGATAATGGATGGATGAATCTGGATTAAAAAAAATTGACATAGCTTATTAGCTATGTTGAACCATTCACTTTTATTTAACCTCTTGTTGGGGCTCTTCCACAGATAAAGAAGAATTTGGAGACAGTTATTAGACAGCAGTTAATGGTACAAATACGTATTCTGAGTAAATTATATGAACTTCCAGTTCAATTAGTTAGCAACCAAGCTAAGTTAACAAGTTAGCTAACTGACTGACTGTTACTTATGTAGTGGCTTACTAAAGTTAGCCACGAGTAGGTCTACATTCAGGACTCACCAGGTTTAGATCAGCGTTGGAAAACGTGTGATTTCCACACTTCACTGTGAGGACTGGACGTCTGGCTAACATGCTGCACAAATTAATTAGTCAGCTGGTTCGCTTGGTTTCCACTCCATAGCAAGAACTGTCTCATGACAGCAGCGCACAGACCGCAGCAGTCTGACTGGCTTTATCTGCTGTCAATAATTCCTGTAACATGGGACATGTGCAGGGTATTAGTTATTTATCATGGATCATAAGCTGCTTTCATGTCTTATTTTGCTTTACTATGTGTAATTATTGTGCATGGATTTGGCATCACATCAACGATTCTCCATGACTTCCTCAGCTCAGCAGCTTCTCTCTCATCATCACTTTCCCCTAGTAATTGTTCACACAATGACAAATGAATTAGAAAACAAACAGGCCTAGTAGTGACTTGTTGTTCAGACAAGTAATTACAGTTTATAGAATTCAGATTTATTTGGAAATCTTGGATTTATAAAACGTTTTAAGTTTACATTAGTTTTCATGTTGGAGTTATTTTCCTAAAATTAGTTTTGATTTTTTTTTTTTTTTTTAATTAAAGTCTGTTTTATTAAAGTACTTCTTGTCTGTCAAAATGTGCAGATGTTTTTCCCTCTGTTGAAAACATCTTTATCAACAAACCTTAATGAGAGAATTAAAAAGTTAAGGAGAATTAAATGGCTGAGGAGTCACATCAACAGGACTGGAACAGAAATAGACAAAAACAAATCCAAATTCAGCTGTACCTGTGGCCACGACTGGCCTAGACTAGATATAGCAGATTCTATTTTCTATAGGCGATTGGCCACAGGTGTGCCCATTGTAGATATAGCAGATTCTATTTTCTATAGCTCAAAAAGCAAAATCAAGTTATTTTTCTGAGTGAATGTCAACCATTGAATAAGTGAGCAAAGAACATCTTTCACACTGAATGACTCATATGATATTCACAGTGGGAGAAAATCTCTCACTGACTCAGGCCTTTTCTCCTGAACAAACACTATAATTTGTTAACTATATGGTGTTTTCTGTTGATTCTTAATGTAATTTGCCAGCTAGATGTATATGATTTAAGAAGCATTCAGTACAGACTCCTGATATAAGGGGAACATGTTGTGTTGGAAGGCAGCTGCTGAAGATACTGAAATTATGAATTCAGGATGGTATCTGAGGAGAAGTAAGAAACAGCATGAGTGCAGCTCCTGAAAGATTTATAAATGAACTCACTCATCTTTCTCTTTTCCTATCACTCATACACACACACACATACATTTTTATATATATATATAAATCCCTCCACCACTTCCCAAAAATCACATTAAAACAATGAATAAGACAAAGAAAATAGCTACTGGCTTTAATTGCAGTTGAATTCATCATGCAGTCATCACAGAATATCTGTATGAATCTCAGAGGATGTACACATAAGGATTTTCTTCAAAATTGTATGTTTATCTCCAAGTGACAGAAATAGAGTGAACAGTGTGGTAATTCATGAAACAAAGTGGATTAGAAATCCTCTGGAATGCAAATATCAAGTTGAGTACTGTCTAATAAATGTACTGAAGCGCAGGAGTGATCCATAGACTGGCTGGTAGTAGTCTATGTATCAGCTAAACAAAGAGCTGCTCCATATTCAGATATATTGAGACATCTTATGTTGCATCATGCATTATTCTTTCCAAATGTTCATTCTCACATTAAGTAGGTTTGTGTTCACACCTGTAGGCAATTTTTTGTTTTAGATCTTATGTGTTAGAGGGCTGTCTCCGGCTTCTCACAAACAAAGCAAGACTTGTCCTGCATTATTAAACACATACCTACGTGGGAGAAATTAAAATGCAGTTGTTATTCTAGTTATTGAGAGGGAGTCCTGCTACACTTAATTACACTTAAAGGTTTTATACATCTTCTCTGATCGTTATAAAGCCCCTACCAAGATATATATGTGTGTGTGTGTGTGTGTGTGTGTGTGTGCCTGCACCTGGGGCTCTTTCATTAACAGCCACAGGCAGCCAGAAACAGAAGAAGGAAAAAGTGGCACATGTAGAGGGAATGGTTGCCATGAGACACTTTGCTTGTATTTGGACTAGCTTTTGTATTATTGCACAGTTCTGTGCAGGGCTTGGCTACTGTCTGTCCCCATTTAGTGGAAAATCAGCAGTATTTGTCATGCGGTTACAAAATGACCTATGTTTAAGTTTCCCTAAGAGGAAGCTCTAGCGTAATTATGAGACAAGAACTGTTGTTATAAGGATGGATGTCCACTGAATGGACAGGTCAACATGGCATCTGACTTTGACAGTGGGAGACCAATATTATCAAGAAGCTGGTTCAAACATAATATGAGCCACCCTGAGTACAGATGCCACATGAGAGAGTAGTGATACAGATGCATATGACTGACACGCTGCAGATCAATGGAAAGATCGATTTTTCATCGAGACAGTATTTGGTTTAGCTTCTCTCTACAGCTCTCTGTCGGTGTGCAACGCTGCAGAGGGGCAGAGTTAGTGAAGCTTGCTGGGCTTACGGTAGGTTCTGCCTCCCTTCTTGTTCCTGGCAACCAAACAAATTGAGCGAATGTTGTGGCCTGTTAGTTAACGGTACAAAGGCTTAGATGTAATGACAAAACATCTTTCAAGTATTACTTGTGCCATGGCACCACCAACAGTCAGCATTTTTATTATTACTATTATTATCTTCTAAATGAACATAATTAGTAAAGTGGACCTTAGGCTTCATTCCCACAGAGAAGAGGCAGATCTTTGCTTCTTTAAGAGTTTTGATTGAAGTAAGCAAGTCATTAATACACAATTAAAAGTGCCAATAAATGGGAGAGCATTCATATGGAAGCTCAGCATATGAGTTAAATGATGTTAACCCATTATTATTTAATAATTAACTATTGGCAATAATAAGAATTATTTGAAATTTGTA